GCGGAGCCTGACCGGCCCCCAGTCTGAGGGGCGGTGAAGTGAGCCTCACAGCCTCCTCAGCTGGCCCTTACCGGACCGGTGCATGACCGGATCGTGGCCTGTGCGCTGTGGGGCCATGAGGCGTGCTTCACAGCCTTTCCACAGCGGTTCCTGAACGGACAGGCCCACACGCTGGGGGCTCGCCACAGCGGAGCCTGACCGGCCCCCAGTCTGAGGGGCGGTGAAGTGAGCCTCACAGCCTCCTCAGCTGGCCCTTACCGGACCGGTGCATGACCGGATCGTGGCCTGTGCGCTGTGGGGCCATGAGGCGTGCTTCACAGCCTTTCCACAGCGGTTCCTGAACGGACAGGCCCACACGCTGGGGGCTCGCCACAGCGGAGCCTGACCGGCCCCAAGTTTGAGGGGCGGTGAAGTGAGTTTCACAGCCTCCTCAGCTGGCCCTTGCCGGAACGGTGCATGACCGGATCGTGGCCTGTGCGCTGTGGGGCCATGAGGCATGCCTCACAGCCTTTCCACAGTGGAGCCGTGAGCCGTGAGATTATTCTAGTTGTTGTTCAGTTTCTCAATTTAGATTTTCACTCTCCGATGTGATGTATTATGGGCACTGTTTAAAAATATGGTCATGGCCCTCATTTACATTGAAAGCGTCTTCCTTTTCCTCTGCTGTCTGCAAAAATATTTCATTCTAAATAAATTACAATGCAAGCACTGGGGGACGAAAGACCGTCTCTGTTGTGCGTAAAACTGCCTTCTAAAATTCAGAATAATCACACATACACACATATATATACACATCCCATACACACAGCTAAAGAAAAATGTGTGAAGTTGATCATGAAAAATAGTTATCACCTCATGATCACAGAAGAACCTATGTAAGTTTTGAGTTTTATAGACTCTAGGTACTTTATAAGCTTTAGTTACTTCTCATACCTGTAGTTCCCTTTAGTTACTTTTCATAACTTTATTTTCCTTGTCTATACATATTACAGCTGTATTGATGATTGTCCAGAACTACTGAGCTTTGGTTATTTTAATACATTTGTTTCCCTTGCTTATACTGTATATCTTACAGCTGTAAAGAGGCTGTCAGGGAGGTGAGTGACGCTCCCGTGAAGATAGAGTGAACCCAATTTAAAAGCCAGTCAGCTGAGGCAGTAGAACAGACTTTAATGTCCTTTTGTGATTTTAGCAGAAAAACACACAGTCTTGGGGGATCAGGCAGAAGAGTGGAACTTAATACAGCCCAAGGTCGAAGTCTCCGGCAGGGCAGCAGGGAAGGCAAGGCTGAATCACAGGTTGGTTGCACAGGTAGGGTGTCAATCTCAGGTTGGCAGTCAGACAAGAGGGAGCAGGCAAGGGTCCGGTACCAGGAAAGCAGTCAGGGAAAAATGCTGGAGAGTCTAGACAAGGCATAGAACAACAAGAAGCCAGCGGGGCAGGATCATGACAGAAGCTTACTTTGAAAGCTCTAAGATCTGTGTAGAGACTAGATGTCTGCATCTCTTTGTGACCAGACAGCCTATTTACATTTTAGCAAAGGCCTGTTTTACACTCACACCTTGACCCACTTAGCATATCCCAATCTTTGCTTTGTCTTGGGATGTCCTGCAGAGGCCGGGGGCTACAACCTGAGATGACCACCTGGCCAGTTTAACACACTTATTAGCATCACACACACACATACCTAGATATACCATATTTCAACATGGAAGTGCGAGCTCCGGTTGACACCAAATGACCAATAGGATCACAACCTATTGAAGGTTGTACCTCTGTCCAGGGCGGAGCAGCCCAAGAAGATAAAATGTATTGTAAGAGCTTAATTTGGGGTTCAGAGAATGGAACTCCTGCAGGAGCTCTATCTCTCTGATCCCAGCGCTGTCAGGCCTACCTGTGCTCAGACTTTCAGTAAACTTTCTGTTGATTTTAAAGAGTCCTCTCCTGTCTTCACTTCTTGTGCTTCTAACAAAAGAATCGGGTTAATTTCTAACACCTATCAGACCTGTACTGTGAGCAGTAACACAAAAACATCTCTTAGGCAATGACATGCTGTCACTGAGTAAGAAATCCTAGTGGGCAATGTGAAATACTGTACAAAGAATCTGAACAGGACAGAGAAAGTTTCCCTGCCTTTGTTTTTGTCTGCAATGTGAAACAAAGGTCCAAGAGCTCGGCAAATATGAACAGCACCTACCTGTGGCCTGTACAAGCCCGGTCATTCCACTAAAGGGAATAAACACCTTTTTTGTGGTTGTTAGAAAGTTAGAAAGATCACCTACAGTAAGAGTCTTCAAGGTCTGTTTTAAGTACTGTGGTTGGTAGTGAAGTCTTCCGGTTCTTGTACCATGCTAACTCTGAGAGACGAGGCAGTCCAAGTATCTTCAATACAGTGCTGATTTATTCAATGAACACAGGTAAAAATTAACATTACACGCTCAGGTATCTTGCATCTCCAACATGCACGCAGGCAGCTGGAAGATGAAAGACCCAACAGGCCTATACATTATATCACTTAGGTTGGGCTAGCCCCATTCTACACAGGAACGTCAACCGTGACGTGTCCCTGGTGCCAGCTTTGCAGCTGACCATAGCAGTAGTCAAAACATGAAGAAAATCAATGTGTGTGTCTGTTGATTAAGTGGTGTGTATCTAAAAATATTCTGACATGACATCTAGTGACATGTCATGACATTACACATAAGAAAATATTATGGCTAAGGCTAAGGTTATACACGACATCATAATAATATTAAACATCCTGTCTGCTGACAAACTTTTCTATCTAGTTATCCTTGACCATATGCACCCTGCAAAAACTCATGACAATGACTAAGCATTTAACAGTCTAACTAGACATCCTGACTCCACTAAACATTTCTAATACAAGTAACTGACCAATATCTATCTGACTAAAAATACCTAACAGTAGGACCTGAGCTAAATTAATTCAGACAAATCTTTCCAATTACAATGAGAATTTAATATTAAGTCAGTCATTCTCTTTTAGGTCATAAGCATAGTCAAGTCCGTCACATCCCCCGGCCGGGGTCTCACTCAAACGTCCTTCTTCCACACGCACACAAACTATACTCCTCCACTGCAGCAGCATACTGCCTCCTTTTGTACGCTGCTCACTTTTGGCTCCCCCGCCAGTTCTCGAACCTATTTAACAGGTCATCTCCAGATCAGGATGACCCAATGGGTTAAACAAACAGGCCATGAACCCAAAATGTTCTTGCTTCAGCACACACAAACTATTTACACAGTGAGTTGACATAGTACAAAGGGCTTGCAGAAATTAGTTATTCATTGATTACTGCATATAGTAACTACATGAAATCTACACACTCATTGTATTCTATTACATATTGCATATTAAATGTAGTTTGTTTGTTTTAACCACTACAGGACAAATTTCCCTCATTGTTTTCCCACAAAGTGACAGGTGTGGTGGGGAGATTGCAACAAAAACTGGGAAATCTGCACGAACATTTGAAGATACCCACATGATTTTTCTATCAAGACTGTGAAATTTTTCTAAATTTCTAATTTTTCTACTGAAAATTTAACTTTTTTTTTTGTACCCTCCTCCATTCAGATTAAAGGAATCACATGTCAAACTAAATGGAATATTATTTAGAAATTCAGATTAAGTGGGAACCGATGACTACATAAAATTGTTAACATCAGGATCAAAGATTTTTATTGTCAATTTATTATATGTGCAGGACATACAGAAAATCGAAATACCATTTCTCTTGCCTAGTATTGAATGCCATCTCATTTAGGAAACTAAAATATAATAAAAGTAGAATAAAAACAATAAGAAAACTAACGAAGAAAACTAAATCAAAGTGATTAGGATAAAACTAAATGGTATAACCTAATAGGTCATGACTCAAACCATGTACAATCAGTGACAGTAGTGCAAATAATAAGAAGATTGTCAGATGGTTGTGAGATTGAGATGCACATGGACAGTAGTACAAATGACCAACGGCAGCAGATATGACGGTAAAAACAGTCATGAAAGATATTACCCAGTTCTTTCAACCAGGAACTCTGAGAGACGATCACAGGCAAGAATTAACATTACACGTCCAGGCATCTTCCACCCCCAAAGCTGCTCGCAGACAGCCCGGAAGAAGAAAGACCCTGAACCCAAGATCTCTATACAATTTAATCACTTCGTTGGGCTAGCCCCATCCTACACAGGCCACGTCAAACCGTGACGTCACCTGATATGCCAGCTATGCAGCTGACCAGAGCAGTAGTCAAAACATGAAGAATATTAAAGTGTGTGGCTGTTGATTAGTGGTGTGTATCTAAAAACATACAGGACATTCAGGGACATGTCCGAACAGTAAGCCTCGGAAGATATTATGATTAAGATTACGGCTGAACATATCATGCTACTAACAATATTCATCCTGCCTGCAGACTCTTCAATCTAGTGACCTTGGCCTAGATGCAGCCTGCAGAACTCATGACAATGAACTGAGCATTTAACAGCCTGAGCAAGACATCCTGGCTACACTAACATTTTCTAATACAACAGATCTCTAATCACTATCTATCTAACTAAGAAATTACCTAACAGTCAGCAGCAGATTTACATGTAATACAACAAGAAGGGGAATGTCAAGTATATACTGCTTCACCTGTTAATTTAACAAATGTTTTTGTGTCATTTAATACTTAAGGAATTAAATCAGTAGCCAATGTTCATACTGTAGAGCTTCACAGACTGTCTACAGTCTATGCATATCTGTAATATAAAATAACTATTCAGCTTCTCACACAGAGTAAACTCACCATCAACCACACATTTATTCTGTTAAAATGATAAACCATAGTTTAAACCGACTAATAAAATCAAAATCTGTATAATTATACAAAAAATTGTTTATATGAAACGTCACTTTGTTGATCCAGCAGCTTAACCAATTAGCATTTAGAGTGAGTCGAGCTTTTCCCATCATGCCCTAGATCTCGTGAGAATATCGTTGTTTGTTTATATGTTACGTCAGAGCAAGTCAAGGTCTTAAATCTTCAGAGTTTAACGGATTAAGTCTGGCAGGCAAAGTCGCCGGTGATCGATTCTGCGCGGATCTGGCTAATCTCGAATGTGCCTAACATCCTAGCGACTTTTTCATCAGACCTACTTTCCATTAAAGACAGTGTGCGACACAGTCCTGCTGACGGACCGACCCGAGCGGACAGGCGAGGGGAGGAGCACCCGATATTGACAGTTGGCCGGAATAACGAAGATCTCCTCGGCGCAGAAGTGGTGGATTGGTGAGTAAAAGTTGTAGCCAGATTATGATGCCTCGCCGCTTTGACTCGGGCACGTGCATGTTCCCGTGCTTCCCTGCTCACAGAGTGTGAGCCTGTTGGATCCGTCGGTTTAGAGTGTGTTCTTATTGCATTACGACAGGGCGGCTTTTATTTCAGACCTTGCTGTCTGTGGAAATAGCCTAGACAAAATTCCTGCAGAAACTGGGACTTTATCTGAATTTATGCTCTGTCCACTGATAGCCCTACAGGGATCCTCTGAATTTAGCAATATTCCTTAGTGCCCTTCTGCTACTCTGTTGTTGTATAGTCATCATTTGCAGATACTTTGCTTTAAGTCACATTAGCCTGTCAACCGTTGTCGCAATAGCATCTACATACGGTTGATTTAATAACAATTCTTACATGTTTTGTAAAAAATGCAAGAAATCTATATAAACTGTCACAAAGTGCATGTCAGTGGTGGGTGACAGATTAAAGCGACAGATAACTTCTTTAGTAAGCTATTTGCAAAAATGTAAGCATATGTGTATTTCAAATGCATTAGTAGTGTAGGAACTGTATGAATGAGAGAGGAATGAGTGTGAATTCGTTCTGGCAAAATGTCAAACCAAACTAAAGCCTGAAGATCTGTCATCTAGGAGAGAGAAATGTTGCTCAGAGGAGTGGTGGCATACATACATTGTGGCTGATTAGACTGCAGAGCATATGACAAGGCTGACACAGGCGCTGACATGCAAACTTAATTTTTATGAATCCAAACTGTTTCTCCCCTCCCTTTTCAACAGGTATCTCACTTCTATCCGCATCAGTGGATAGCTACTCTTCAAATCTCTTACTGTACCTTCTCTGTTTCCACTGCGACTGTCTCTACAGACCGAGGAGCAGCTCTTCTTGCTCTCCACTATGGCTGACACTAAGAGGAAATTCGACTTTGCCATTGATCGGGGTGGCACCTTTACTGATGTGTTTGTCCGGCTGCCTGATGGTCGTGAGAGAGTCCTGAAACTGCTATCCCGGGACCCGCAGAACTACAAAGATGCTCCCACTGAGGGGATCCTCAGAGTCCTGGAAGAGGTAACATGGCATGATGGGCGGATGTATTAATACATACTTTTTTTTTTTAATATAATTGACATGAATGTTTCAGTAAATGTAAATCTAATTACAGTTCAATTAAAAAAATTGAGTCCAAAATGTGACTTTGTGTGTATGCAGTGTGATGTGGTGTGGTGAATGAACGTTGCAATGATCCTTGTCGCTTGCTTTTGTAGCTAGTTCAAGTTAAAAAACAAAATCTTTGTGCATCATTAGATCATTAAAGCTACAGAATGTAAATTAAGGTAGCACTAGCGTGAAACTCCAGATCAATCCACTCTGCTCCACTCAGCTGGACCTGACCCAACCCATTAACATAAGACCCCCAACAGTACCCCTACCTGTAATAAAGATATAACATCACTATATCATCTGTCTGTGATGTATTTGTTGGCAGGAAACAGGGCAGGTGTTCCCTCGTGACCAGCCTGTAGACACCTCTTTGATTGGCTGGATCAGAATGGGCACAACAGTGGCAACCAACGCTCTGCTGGAGAGACAGGGAGAGAGAACTGCACTCCTGGTCACTAAGGGCTTTAAGGACTTGCTGCACATTGGCACACAAGCCAGGCCAAACCTATTTGATTTGGTTTGTAGTGACTGCTTCCTTAACTCATGGTTATATGCATAAATGTTTACATTGAAAAGGTAGACTACAGACACGTTTACAACATGTAACACATTAAATGAAAAGCCAGCATATGAAGTTCACAGATTAATTACTGGGCCCTGAATAGTGGGTTTATCCAACCACATGATCACAGATACCATCTCAAACATATTCAGGTAGATCTGCATTATTGTGCATTTTTAAATGTACTGTATGTGGTGTTCATGAATAGTCTGGGTACAGGTGTCTCTGTAAGAAAAGGTGTAATCATTATCTTGTGTTGCTGAGACTGGGGGCAAATCTTGGAGTTTGGCACAGGCCAGTTGTACCATTAATAATTTAAGTGGTCACTTATCTATAGCTGTGTATCCACTGTCATGCCGCCTGATCTTTGTACAGGTGTAACTTGTGTGTGTATTAACAGGAGGTGGCTGTGCCTGACGTTTTGTATGAGGAGGTAATAGAGGTGGATGAGCGAGTTGTTCTCATGCAAGATGGCTGCCAGCTGCCCAGGAAAGATTCCAAGCGTGTTGTCACAGGTGTGAAATGAAACTGTCTTCTCTTTTATAATTAACTGTCTAATTTTCTTTGTTTCTATTGTATATTCTTTGGCTACACTAGTGGCATTGTTCTGTCAGGCAAGTTGATTGTTCTGCCACTTTGGTTCAGACTGAAGCCCATCAATAACTGTTTCATGTGTGTACCAAACATGCATTTTAACAACTTTGGAGATCACAAAATTGTAAATTTTCCACCACAGTTGTACTTTGTGCTAATTATCCAAGATGCTACGATGGTGAACATTTTTATGTTATAAAACATAAGCATGTTAGCATCATCTATGGCGAAAATAGGGATGGAGAAAAGGCACCTTCTCGAGCTGAAGGCTTGAGAAAATTGCCACCATGGCACTGCCCTTTACTTTGGAGTAACTTTACAAGAAAAGTAAGCTTTATTTTTATAATATCTTCACAATATGAAGACCGTGATCCGAGGAAGTGTGGGCGGAGCCAGCTGGTGAAACGCATCATCTGAAATAATGCAGATAATCTCTGTTATGTATGCTGCTGTTTCTCAGGCAGCACTGGGGATTCTCTGGAGGTGTGGAAAGAGCTGGATCTGGAGCGTGTAGAAGACGACCTGAGAGACGTTTTGTCCCGAGGGATCACCAGCCTGGCTGTGCTGCTGCTACACTCATACATGTCAGTAGTACAGTTTGTTTTTGCATTTTTGGCATAGAGGCATATTTACCTAAGCTACATTTGCTCTTTCTTTATTTATCAATCTTCCCTTCACAGGCAGTAATTCTGAGCCTGGTACAAATTCAACTTATTTTTCTTCTAACTTACTGTTCACTCATTTACACAGTTCCACCTCTGAGTCTCAAGTTAGTATATAACTTCTGTGGTTTACTGGGTGGAAGTTCATGTTTTTCTTTTAATCTTTTCTCTCTTTACTTGTCTGTTCTCATATGTTCCTTGAAATCCATTTACACTTGCAGTAACAGTCTACAGACTCCTGTCACATGTCCCAGGCAAAAGCACAAATTTCTCCCATTAGTAAAAGAGTAATCTGGAGAATTTAAAACATATAAGACAAACACAATATACTGTAAAACAGTGTTGAAAATGCATAAAAGCTTTGTGTTTATGCTTCTAGGCCCACCCTTCACCCTGTTCTTCTGCCTTTGTCTTTCAGATGGTCCAATCATGAGAAAGCAGTGGGCGCCCTTGCTCGACGTCTGGGCTTCACCCAGGTATCTCTTTCCAGCGAGGTCATGCCCATGGTGCGGGTAGTGCCTCGGGGCTACACCGTCTGCGCAGACGCCTACCTCACACCCAAAATTCATCAGTATTTAAAAGGATTCACCTCTAGCTTTAAGGACGGCCTGAAGGTGTGTTTCTCACATTACTATGTGTGATTTAATGTTGATATTTTTTTTTTACTTTTTGTCACTCTGAGTCTGCCATGGAGGTGCAAGTCAGGTCATTCTTGCCCTTTACTCAGCAGAATGCAGCAAGGATTTTCCAGATGTTCCAGTAGCTGGGTGTCAGTTCAACACCCTGTTACATTTGAGCGTTAAAGTTTCTCCCTGTCCTCAGGATGTGGACGTCCTGTTCATGCAGTCAGATGGAGGTCTGACTCCCATGGAGCAGTTCTGTGGTTCACGGGCCATTCTCTCGGGCCCGGCAGGAGGTGTGGTTGGATACGCCATCACCTCTTACAGCCAGATGGAGAAGAAGCCTGTGATTGGCTTTGACATGGGTGGTGAGTAGGGGCAATGCTGAGGAAGTGCTTTAAGCATCTAGAACAAATATGAACAAAGCATGGTCGTGACTTCCCACTGTTGTTTTATCATACTTTGTTCCATAATCTGTTGTGCAACTGAATTGTTTCAAATATTGATTATTTAACTTTTTTATACTTATAACTTTCACTTTTTTGATTGGCTGTTTGAGTACTAAAAGTTGAATGCAGTGATTTAATAATGGCTTAAATTTAAGGCAAAAAAATAAAATATTTGTTTTAATCCAGGAAGCCACAGGTTCTTTTGGATTTGCTCACTTTTTATAAAGTACTTACTGACTTGTTCTCTTTCGTTTGTTCCTGCAGGAACATCCACTGATGTGAGCCGGTACGCAGGCCAGTATGAACACGTGTTTGAAGCTGCCACGGCCGGAATCACCTTGCAAGCACCTCAGCTGGATATTAACACTGTGGCTGCAGGTGGAGGGTCACGGCTCTTCTTCAGGTGAGCTGAGATGTGTATTTGACTGCTGAATTGTTGCCGTATTTTGGAAGGCTGTTTGCTATAGCTCCAGTTCATTGCTTCAGTGAGGCACTTGCAGGGGTGGATCTAGAAAGTTTCAGTTCAGTTTATTTGTATAGCGCCAATTCACAACAACAGTTATATCAGGTCACTTTCATAGAACTTTCAAACCTAGTTCTGTGAAAAATTAAACCATGCATTAGTAACAATCAAGTTTATTTTGTACACAAATGAGATGCACGGTGCTTTCTTTAGCTAACTTTGCCATTGCTGCTGCACAGTGGTTCCCCCCACTGAGGTGAATCATGCCAAGTACTCCACAACAGCATAGTCAGAGAAATGAATGCAAATATCATGTGGCATGCATGATATAAAATAAAACTCATTTGACTAATATCACTTATAAAGCATCAGAAAACTGTTAGTTGTTTTTAAGGCAGCAGTTTGTAATTGTTTTTGATTTCTCATCCATTAATACTGTTAAGCATCACATTTTGACTCTGGCAGGGGTGGCACCCGGGTGTGACCAGTGCCACCCTGGCCACCCACTTGGCTCTGCCCACAAATGACAACTATTGAAACACCTGGTACATATGTAAATGGGACAACAAATTAATTTGAAATGTATCAGAATTAGTGAAACTCTTGTAAATGGCAATTAATAGGTCAGGTACTCCTATATTTATGATGCTCTTTCCACTCCTGTTAATCTGACTTGTTTAACTGAATTGTAATTATTTATTTGATGTATTAAATTATCAGATTCATTTTCCTTTGCTCCTTTCTCCCTTTGTCTTTCTCTATATTCTCTTCATATGTCTCTCCTCTCAGATCAGGGATGTTTGTCGTTGGACCAGAGTCTGCAGGTGCACATCCAGGACCGGCTTGCTACAGAAAAGGTAACAAAGCCTGTTGTCCTCCATCATTCTTAAACCTTTCCATTATTGTAACAGTACTTTTTCCAATTTCTCTCTGTGCTCTATTATGGTTTTCAGTCCACAGCCTGGTAGATGCACTTTACATTTCTAGCTTACTTTTCCCAAACTTGGTGGCTTCATCCACTCTTTAAAACATTATTGTACATATTCCTGTTTGAACCTTTTATTCTTATTAACCCCACATACAAAAATAGAAGCAGAGTGGGATTTGTGTGTTCTGCTGTCCTGTTCCCTTTCCCATACTCTGGATTGTTTATCTGATTTAGCTGTGTGAAGACTGGAAATTGGCATAAATCCAGTTGTCAGATGATATAACCAGTTCTCATTTGGAATTGTAATGTGTGTTAACAAAATTAAATTTGAATCTGGCTTTGCTGTTGCTGTTCCTTCTAGGAGAGATGGTTAGTGTTTGCCTTTCCAGTACCTATCCAGTGCTTTTGATGTTTTATAGAATTATCTAAAACTATGGTAAAATACAAGACTGAAACACAGAGTGAACCATCTCACACAAAAACAGCCTTTTGAAAAACACACTATTGATTCCTTGTTTTTGTTTGTTTTTGCAGGTGGCCCTCTGACTGTGACAGATGCCAACTTAGCCCTGGGTCGCCTCCTCCCTTCCTTCTTCCCCAAGATTTTTGGGCCCAAGGAAAATGAACCTCTGTCTTTGGACGAGACCATGAAGCATTTCCGTCATCTCACCCAGGAGATCAACCTTTTCTTGTCTTCTGACCAATCACAGGTAATAATATTTACAGAAATACTGAGAAGAGCTTCAGTTTTCTTGATCAATTTTAAGGGAGAAATAATGAGGCTAAAGTTTTGCTTTACATGTTTTCATTTTAAGATTAGCGCAGATGGGGCCAACCAGTCACACAACAGCATATTGCCAAACAGCGAGATGAGTGTGGAGGAGGTTGCTATGGGATTTGTTCGTGTCGCTAACGAGGCCATGTGCCGGCCGATCAGAGCTCTAACACAGGTAGTCTGGATATCAAAGCTGCTGCACCCTGTTGAAGTAGTAACCCTGTATTTGATTGTCAGCTGTGTTTAACATCATCACATAAAAGCCTTTTTTCTCTCTCTCACCACCTCCCCCACCTCTTTTACGTCCTAGGCCAAAGGCCATGACACATCTCTCCATATATTAGCATGTTTCGGGGGTGCAGGTGGCCAACATGCATGTGCCATTGCCCGAGCCCTTGGGATGAAAAATGTCTTTATACATAAGTAAGACTGATGTTGTTTTATTTTTGTTACGTGCTTGTAAGAGAGAAAACGTTTGATACAAAACAGCAAAGAGGGTGTATTTGATTCTTCTCTGGTTGAGTAATCTGACAACTGACTAACAAAATAACTATTCATGTACAATGTCTTTGACTGTAATGTGCATGTGTGTGTTTTGCAGGTACAGTGGCGTGCTGTCGGCCTATGGTCTGGCTCTAGCTGACGTGGTGGAGGAGGTGCAGGAGCCATGTTCACTGCAGTATGAGCAGCACTGTTTCAGCGAGCTCGACCGCCGGATAGAGCAGCTCTCAAAACGCTGTCACGATGCCCTCAGTGCACGTGGCTTCACCAGGTCAATGGCCACAAAACACTACATGCTATGGGGTTAACCTTACACCTCTCCATGGGCCTCAGTATAATCATTGTGTACGTACAAAACGTGGCTTAAAACATGCATGTGCCACTTCCCATGGCTTCACATAGTCTTCATTAAAATAAAGAGCAAGACCCACAGACTAAAAACATTAGGAGATGTCAACTCCACTGTGATCCAAAGGCCATGGAAAATAAATGTTTTGAGCAGTGAATTAAAGGCACGCAGATTTAATATTAACAGGTAAACTGTTCCACGGTTTGGGGCCATTGCAGCAAAATTGTGAGAATACCAGCGCTTGTATGTAGCCCTTGGTACTTCTAAAAGAAACAGATTTGAGGACCTAAGGGGTCAAACTGGCTTGTGCCACTGTAGAAGTTCAATGAGCTGAGGAGCCAAACCATTAACTTTCATTAAAAACATAAAAAAGAGCATACCAGACTAAAGTAGCTTTGTGTTTCTTGCCCACTTTAGCAGTCAGATAACCATTGAGGTTTTCCTCCATCTGCGTTACAAAGGCACCGACTGTGCTCTCATGGTCACCGCTGCTGACCACCCCAGCAATGCCCAGTCCTGTCAAGCTGGAGACTTCCACAGCGCCTTCACCAAACGGTTAGCTCTCACTCGTTTATCCCTGCATTACTATTACCTGCAGCATATATTCGCCCATGAGTGGATAAATCATTATGTACATATAAACTCCTTGCTGCCTTCTGTTTAGCCTGCATAAGCAAACACAGTCAAGTTAATGCGTTATATTTCCACAGAAGATAAGCTTAGCAAACTTTGGAGCTGACATTTATTTACTATGTTCGTGTTTTTATGTTCCTCTGACCTTTAGCACTCTTTGTCCTTTGTGTCACACCCCTCCTTTTGTCTTTCTAGTTATATGAAGGAATTTGGGTTTACCATCCCAGAGAGACCCATCCTGGTTGATGACATTAGAGTGAGGGGTTGTGGGAAATCTGGCATCAAATCAGTGTATAAAACAAAGATAGGACATGGACAGGCCACACCACTCACGGTATATGGAGTTACTTCCAGAACATGTATTATAAATACAAATGTTATGTTTTATCATGAAAGCATTTGTGTTTTAATTCTCCAATGGATTATGATAACTTTTTTTTTATGTCTGTAGGTGACCAAGTGTTACTTTGAAGATGGTTACCTGGACACCAGTGTGTATCTATGGGAAGAGCTGCCATGTGGTCACAGCATCCAGGGACCAGCCATCATCATTGACAAGAACAGGTAGGCATTTTCTACTTCTTTATTAGTAGCTTTAAATTAATCAAAAATATTTGTTTCTAATATTTTAAATGTTTCTCTAAACTCAGGACTTCAATTTGTCTTTAAATTTACAGTTTCACAAGTCTTCTATTGCTGCTTTAGTTTTATTGATGTGTTGACACATAATCAGAAATTTACTTCTCTGAGTTGAGTATGATGTGATTTTAAACTGCTTCAGGTGACAATGTCTGTATTTACCTGGTCTGAACATCAGTGATAATGCATAGTCTTCTTCTGCTCTTTACACTACCAGCACCATCCTGGTGGAGCCATGCTGTGAAGCCCGTCTGACAGAAGGGGGCGACGTTATCATGACTGTAGGCTCTGATCCTCACTGTGCCCTGGGGACTGAGCTCAACGCTGTGCAGCTGTCCATCTTCTCCCACCGCTTCATGAGCATAGCAGGTACATCTTTTTAATTATTTTTAAGTAGGGATGTGTAAAGCCTGGATGATTATAAGCTATTCAGTGAGAACTTTCTCTTCACTTGTTTAAGTGTGCTGTATCATTTTTCCTTTACAGAACAGATGGGGAGAGTTCTCCAAAGAACCGCCATCTCCACCAACATTAAGGAACGTCTCGACTTCTCCTGCGCAATTTTCGGACCAGATGGTGGCCTGGTGTCTAATGCACCTCACATCCCTGTCCACCTGGGTGCCATGCAAGAGACTGTCCAATCTCAAGTAAGGGATTTGTAGTTATGAGTGTTTCTCATACTGCTGAAACAACACAGCCTGTTCAGATAATAACAAAAAGGATGCTCTATGCAGATGAGATCTCTGGGGGAGAAACTGAAAGAAGGGGATGTGATTCTGAGTAACCACCCGTGTGCCGGGGGCAGCCACCTCCCAGACCTCACAGTCATCACACCGGTTAGCTTTCTCTTGTCAACATTATTCCTTTCTTTTTCTTACATATTCTCCTTTCCTCGTCTTTCTCACTGCCTTCTGCCTGTCTCTTCTCACCCCAGGTGTTTAGAAAAGGAGTGAGCAGCCCAGTATTTTTTGTAGCCAGCAGAGGACACCATGCTGACATTGGTGGCATCACACCGGGCTCCATGCCCCCCAACTCCACCTCTCTTTTTTCTCTTCCTTTAAACTTGTCACTGGTGGGATCTTCCAGGAAGAGGGTAAGAGAGGAAGAGATGAACCAAGAGGAATGTGAGAGACTCAGGGAGCAAAAGATATTATGGACAAATCCAGATAAAGAATCCTTGCTTCATATATGTCAGTTATACTATAGAGACACAGAGACTATATGATACCAATTGCTTTGCATAGTAGTGTGATACACTAGCGAATGGCTAATGTATAACATTACTACAGTGGCAAAAAAGTATGTTGGGATGAGCAAATGTATAATTACTGTGGTTAAGCTAATACAACAGTTCTGTCTTTATTTACACACAAATTACAAAGTGTTCACTTGCTTTTTCTTACCACTGTACTTTCCATTGTTCAAAGCATTAACTAACTTGAATTAGGTAACGCACCATTACAAACACCCACCTTTTATGTTATGTGTTAATGCATTTGTAAGAAAAGGCCATTTTGAAAAACTTTTTTGGTGACTTCAGAGACACTCTGAAGAAATTTTGAGTTTTTACTGGAATATGGAAAATAAAAAGCGAGCATAACATGAATGCTGTGAAACTGATTAAAACTGATAACTCTACTATCCTGTCCTCATCAAGTCAGTTTTCAAAATAAGATCTGCTCATGAAATGTTTGTCATCCCACTTAACATTATTGCTGAAATGTTTGTCATCCCACTTAACATTGTCTTCATTCTTTCCCCACTGGATTTCTCTCTTGCCTTTGCCCTCTGTCTCCATATCAGCTGTAACTGAAGCTTTGATGGCTCCAGCCAAGTACCCAGGCTGCTCTGGGACTCGTAATCTCCATGACAACCTATCAGACCTACGGGCTCAAGTGGCAGCCAATCAGAGAGGCAGCCAGCTGGTGGGGGAATTGATTGACAGCTATGGACTAGCTGTGGTCCAGGCCTACATGGGATACATTCAAGTAAGTGTGGCTATGTTGTAGGTGAAATAGTATAAAAGAGAACTGTATTTCTGAAACGCAGTAGTAAGAAGTACTGCTTTTGTTGTTTGTGTGTGTGTGTGTGTGTGTGATCTGTGTTTCAGAGTAATGCAGAGCTGGCAGTAAGGGACATGCTGAGAGACTTTGCACATCAACAACAGGAACAGACTGGCTCCTTGGAAGTGGAGGTGGAAGATTTCATGGATGATGGAACACCAATCAGGCTGCGAGTCCAGATCAGTGAAGAGGAGGTGAGTACAGAGGATCTCCTTGTGATTACCCCTTTTTATCTCACACAATGCAATGATCACCTTGAAAAACAGGATTGAAACAGTCAAAGCTTGAATTGCATGACTTTGCAATCATATGTAAAACCCACCGCTTCTGTCTGTACTAACTAAGACGCAACACACCCACCCCTATGCTCTCCAGGGCAGTGCAGTGTTTGACTTCACAGGGACAGGAACAGAGGTTTGGGGGAACTGCAATGCTCCACGGGCCATCACCCTCTCCGCTCTTATCTACTGCCTGCGGTGTATGGTTGGACAGGACATCCCACTTAATCAGGTAGAAAAGTTTTGTTCCTGCAAGAGCATTTGTTTTTTTTTTTATTTTAAGGCTCACTGATTTATTACAAAGATAGAGTGAAAGGTTTAGCTATAGGGACTCCTGGCAGCATGCTCAGTTAAGTTGCATTGAGACAGCTATTGTTAAAAAAAAATCAGATCTATATGCTTTTTTGGTTTACTGTCATGATGTATGTTTAAAACTCAATAATTCAAAGGATAAGGCTGTTTATTTTCCACAAATCCCAAACAGACTAGAAACAGCAATGAACTTTGTGTGCTCGCTGTAGTGTCTTGATTCTAGAACCTGCTTTAGCTTATTCATCTGTGGACACCAGTGGACATGTTTCTAATTAGACTGTGTGGTAATTTGTCCTGCGATTAAAAAGCCTAATATTTAATTCCAACTAATCACAGTTCATATAGTTTCATTATTATTCATCTATGTTCCTATCCAGGGTTGCCTCTTACCGATCAAGGTCATCATCCCCCCTGGCTCAATTCTCCATCCTTCCCAGAATGCAGCTGTGGTTGGAGGGAATGTGCTTACATCCCAGAGAGTGGTTGATGTCATCTTTAGGGCGTTTGAGGTGTGCGCTGCTTCACAGGTGAGAAAAGCTGCATTTGACCAAAAAAAAAAAAAGTTTCCACTTTTAGTACGTTAATTTCTAATCTTTCTTCAACATTTGTTTTATTGTGATTCTTGCTCTTAGGGCTGCATGAACAACATTTCATTTGGCAGCGAGAGGATTGGTTACTATGAGACAGTTGCTGGGGGAGCTGGAGCTGGGCCAGGCTGGAATGGGAGGAGTGGAGTCCACAGTCACATGACCAACACCCGCATTACTGACCCAGAGATTCTGGAGAAGAGGTGGGATACGAGATGAAGCTTTAAAGTAAAATTGGATGTAACCACCAATAACACTGCTTTTTATGTAAATGATCTGTACATTGCTGCTGTCTGGCATTCAGGTATCCAGTGATTCTAGAGCAGTTCTCCCTGCGGCCTGGCTCGGGAGGTGCAGGAAAATACCGTGGTGGAGACGGTGTGATCCGGAAACTTCTGTTCAGGGACAAGGTGGTTTTGTCTGTATTAACCGAGAGGCGATCCACCCGCCCCTACGGCCTCCAGGGTAAACTCTCACAATTTTAACCTGCCTTTAAAAGTTACTTTTCACTAGATGAGGTTAGGTTTTTGTCTCTTTTAGATTTTGCCAAGTTACTAGTCATCTCTGCTTCCTTTAGCTGTGGATCAGACCTGCACCTAGCCCCAAGCTCTGACTGTCAACATACATGACAGAGAGCTGAGCCACCGTTGAAGGTATTTCCTGAATCCTCAGACTCTTCTAATGATACGGAATCATAAATCATCCAATCCAGTCCAGGAAAAATATTAATTTTGTCAGTTTTTCCGAGGATAATAAGGCTTTTCTGAAAACTGAAGATGGCGACGAGAAATGTCTCTCACTGATGCTCAACTCAACTCAACTCAACTCAACTCAACTTTATTTATAAAGCACTTTAACACAGCCAAGGCCAACAAAGTGCTTAACATAAGAAACAATTCAAAACATCTAAAAATGTAACGATGCTGAAGGTCAAGCCCATCCCCACCAGCTATGACTTACCATTTGCACAATCTGACATGCTCTGGAAAAGTAACAGTGGTGAGTGGTTGTGTCTTTTTGGAGAAAACTGAGTGTGATGATTATTTTGGCTGCCTCAACTTAACAGTAAACAACTATAAAGAGTGGTTATTTAAAAAAGAAATCCTGTCACAAACTGTTGTGAAAACTGTGACGGAGGATTAAAAAACTCGTTATTATTAACTCTAGGCAGCTGAAATAATCATCAGGTTCCATGTTTCCTCCAAGAAGATGCTAAACCACTCAAAAATACTGTTTCTTTTGCAGAGCATGTCAGACTGCATAAATGGTAAGTGGTAGCTGACCGTTTGGTGGGGCTGTGCTCGACCTTCAGCATCAATGAGAGGGACATCATTTCCCGTCACCATCTTAACTCTTCATCAAAGCCAACCCTATTCTTTGAAAAACTGAATTTTTTGTGGTTTGGATCGGCTGATTTTTTTTTTTTTTTTTTATTTCT